AGGACTTGTCAAATTTTCAATGGAATCAGATAATTGTTTAGTTCTATCCATAATTCATAGTCAAAGTTATTATCATTTTACTTAAAACGTGTCAAAATATAAACTCTCCATCGTCAAAAGAAAACTTAGTACATTCATCTAATGAAAACCTGAAGGTTTGTCCATTCCACCGAAATGTCAATAGTTCATCAGTTTAAAATAGTATGAATGAATTAATGTATACTGTAGTAGCCTCTTCAAATATATATCATTCTAGACCAGGGGTATCAAACTCATGATGACACGTCATCACATGATGTATCACAACTTTCCCCCTTCGCTAAAACGGGTGGATGTGGCCAGCACATGAGTTTTACTATTCTAGACTTTGCAATTATTTTGACATGTTTATTCTTACCAATAACTTCAGAGGAATTGTCAACCATCTATTTATGTCAATATTTATCCCATGTAGTATAAAAAAGTTTAATTGTGCTAATAAATATCTTCCTGGAAATAGTTATTTCAGGGAATTTGAGACCACATGAACAAACTTCAAGTCACTTTTCCTTACAAATTTCCACAAATATTTGTGTCCAATTAATTGAAATAATATATTGGATTCAAATTTATAAATTGTGAGGTGGATTTAGTTGTGTTTTAAGCAACTCAACTGGCAAAAGGAGAGAGATCATTTAAAAACCATTGGGTTACCTATTTTAGCTTTATGGTGAATTGATTAAGAAGGAACACTACCTGTCTAACCTTCTGTGACCTGCAAAAGGCTATACCTCCCACCACTCTGATTTCTCCTCTTCCCCAAGTTTTCCCATTCAGCCAACTCTCTCCCTGAACATACATGTTTACAAACTCCCAATTCCAATGGCCAAATTTTCACTCTAGTCCACTTGAGTACAATTTAGTAGGCATCACCAAACAATTCTCCTCTCCTCTACATATTCACTCTTACATTACAAATAAGAAGCAGTGGTGGATGCGCCAATGGTGGTGAGAATAAAGATATATTAATAATAGAGACAAGAGACATCACATTTCCAGTTAAGTATCAAACACAATAGAAAACAGAAGGAATCAAGTGAGAAGTCCAAGCAAGTTCAAGAAGCTAATTTCTTCATCCAGTCCAATTTGACTCCTACTTTCCCAATACCCTCCCAATCCTAACATAGTAACTTTTCAACATTTCCTCCTCTACACTTAATTTTCACGAGACTCTCTTCCTCCATGCCTAATTTCCTCCATGCCTGACTCAGGTATGGTCCCCTTTGGTTTCTTGCTCAGGCAACATCCCTATGCCCAAGTCCTTACGTTAATTCCTGTTAGTAGTCCCAGAAGAGAAGAGTTGTATTTTGGAGTCTAATGGGAGTTATTTTATTTCTCCTAACCATGACCATAACTTTCTTTCCATTGTCTGTTGTTTTGTAAAAATAATTCATAGGTGAAAAATTACTTTGCAGATGAAATTTTGAAATACTACTTCGGATGAATTTAAGTTAGTTGAATAATTTTGTACAGCTCTATAAGTGTACTTGTATTAAATGGTAGTTAACTTTTTGAAATAAAGCAAAGTAATATACTGAAGATATGCTAAAGACAAATAGTAGCATTTATGTATTATATTATTTTGTTACAGGATTTTTAAATTTCATTTTCCTGCCTTCATATACCCACTGAAGAATTAACATTTTCCCAATTTTTTTTTGCATGTATGATGAAAATTTTTAAGCTACAATTCTTCCACTGACTATAAGGATTTCTCCCAGGGATAGGGTCAACATATTTCTTTTTCTCAATGTTGTTTGGTAAATACATTATTATGTATGTACGTTTTCCATCCTCTCCACACCAAATTAAGGGATTAGAGGGTTATAAAAGGGGAAGTTTTTATATATAGGTTTTCCATGACACAAAGGAACAGGAAGATATTCCCCTGCTTAGGCTTTTTAATTGGCAATTTACACTTTTATTGCTAAATTACAGAAACTATTATAAGAAAAACATTACTTCTAGAAAACATGTAAAAATAAAAAGGAGAGCCTTTTCTGTTGCAGCTCCGACCCTGTGGAACGATCTCCCCATCGAGATACACACCCTCACCACCGTCCAGGCCTTCCACGCAGCCCTCAAGACCTGGCTCTCCCAACAGGCCTGGGGATAAGTCTNCCCCACCCGAGTGTTGAATGTTGAATGCAAGTTGTGTTTTTATTACTTATTTTGTTTGTATATTGTTTATTTTGATTTGCACCCCCTCCCTGGTGATTGTAAGCCGCCCTGAGTCCCCCCAGGGAAAAGGGCGGCCTATAAACCCTAATAAAATGAAATGAAAATAAATAAATACACATGAAAAAATAGAAGGAAAAAACCACCCCAAGAAAACCCAAATATAAGCTTCAATATTGCAAATTATATTTTATTCATACAGAATTGTGTTAATCAGTTTATCATTATGTGATAAAGATCAAGATAAAGGCTATAAATGAGCACATCTTTAATACATTGTTTAAAAGTAAAAATTACATGGCCAATTTGTCTAATTGAAACAGAGTTTTGTTTGTTTGTTTGCTTTGATCTCTCAGGTCAGTGGTTCCCAAACTTGGCAACTTTGCTCTGCTGGCTGGAGAATTCTGGGAGTTGAAGTCCACAAATCTTAAAGTTGCCAAGTTTGGGAACCACTGTCTCAGGTAAAAAAAGAATACTCATTTCTTTTACACAATATTTTACAGGAATATCTTTGTCAATTATTACATCTGTATTATCAATCTTCAGTATTGCATATAAGGCTGATGCAAAGCTTAATATCTTGTCTTCTTTTTGACAAAGGACATCAAAATATCCTTCATAATATTTATTATCACAAATCTTGTTTTTATTCTATAAATCATCAATTTCTACAAATTATACCACCTCATCCCAATCCAAAACATTTTCTAAAAATTTAACAACTTTTTATAAAATATTTTCATCAGAATCCTCTGAGAGTGCTGTAAATGTCATTTCCCCCCTCTCTCAATGCCAATGCTAATAGAATCCTATTGTCTAGTTCTCTTTCTAATTATCTCTAATTCTCTTTCTGCAATCTCTCTCTTACTCTCCAAAATTTCAATTTTGTCATTGTTTACCTCTACAGATACTTGTTTTTACAGAGCTGTTCTCCTGGACCATGGGAGTTGAAATTCTTTGGCTAACAGGACCCACATAGGTCTTTCCCACGGGAATGAGCAGAGTGGGCTAGTGCCTTTGGGGTGAGATGGTCTTCATATGCCCTGGACCCATGCCATAAAGGACTTTAATGGTGATAACCAATACTTTGAATTGAACATGGAAGCAAACTGGCAGCTAGTGAAGCTCACATAAGAGTGGTGTCACATGTACCATCAGAGGTGATTCCAGAACGCTCCATACCACTACATTCTGTACCAGTTGTTGTCAAGGTTGAACCGCTTTTGAAACATTTAGGTCTTATTGCTTTTAACTTTCCAAAGAACTGGTGGGAGGGAAGGGTGAAAGAATAAAGATGCTCCAGAGGCAGACCGTGAGAACCAAGATCCCATCAAGGACACCGATGCAGGTGCCCGACAGAGACATGAACTGTTCTCAAAACAAAAGGACGATTCATAATTGGACAATGGGACCAAACCGGGGTAGGGAGAAGGTATTATTTAACTATACAAGCATTGCACAGGAAAAGTCGGAGTTCGTTTTGATTCTTCAGGGCTGAAATGCTGTATCCAATGAAGTTTTGTTTTTGGGATTTAAAAGTTCCTGAGAGTGTCTACTTTTCTTGAGTTTGCTTGTCAAACCGTTGACATTTGTAGTTTCTGAATACTATTCAAGGATAATCTCATATAGAGAATATTTAAGTAATCCAACTGGGAGATAACGAGGGCACGAGTGATTGCATGCAGGACTGCATTATCCAGGAAAAGGGGCAATTGTATGAAGAATCTCCTACCATGATTGCCACCTGATCTTCGAACAGACGTTGCAAGTCTAAGAGCACCCCCAGATTGTCCAGCAACTCCATCCAGAATTAAGGATGATAAGATTGTTTTAAGCTTTTATATATAGAGATCTTTGATAAAAATAATTAAGAAAAGATTCTATTAGATTTGGTATGCGTACCTCTTAATACAGATATATGTGCATGCAATATTAATGTAATATCCTATGGTGTAACATCAAATGATATGTGATGATAAAGCAATTCTGTTGTGGCACCGCCAAATTCTTCAGGAACCCAATCAGATGAGGAGGAGGTGTGGGAGTCAGGGTCAGCATCAAGGCAGCCTAAGAGCTCTGAGAGGAAAGAGGGAATGGAGCTGTTAGAGGTGGAGCCTGGGCCATCCATCAGTCCTCAGATGGAGAGTCAACAGCCTCCAGGTCTGGAGGTGGCTGTTGAGGAAGAGGAGGAACAGCTGGGTCCAGTGCCTGATACACAGATGCGCAGAAGGCAGAGGAGAGGAGAGCAGTGGAAATCCTTGGGACGGAAGAGTTACTGCTGCTAGCGAAACTCCACACTAGCTTTGGGGATAAAAGGCAGGGGGCAGAGATGAATAGATATGGCAGACAACTATTCATCTCCCTGCTGGACAGACTTGTTAGCCTGCGGTGAGAGAGAAACTTTTTGCCGGGGCTGTTGACACTCCTAATTAAGGAATCATTGATTTAACTTCAGAGGGTTTGTTGAGTTTGGGGAGCTGGATCAAAAAAAAAAAATCCATCTCTACATTTTTATCCAGATTCCCTTAACCATGTCACAGATTTGTACTGAAGGGTTACTAAAAAACTGGGAAAGGTTTTAAATGATGATGCCTACATAATTCTAAATCTTAACACTATAATTATTTATCTTATCATAATTTCTGTATACTCCTTTTGCATTTTTTGCCCTTTTCTTGTATAATTGCTGCATCTTTGTAAATTACCAGGTCTTTGGCTGCTATGCTATTCAGCATGTCTGGATTTCATGAAGTCCATTTCATGACTTCAATGACAATTGTGTGTGTGTGAATCTGCACTGATTTTTTTCACATTTTCAGTCACTGTCCAAAGCCAACTCTATCCCCATGTTCCCAATTTCCTCCTCTTTGGATTCTCTTTCTCTTTTCCAGCATTCCAGTATATAAAAGTGATCTCCTCTCTTGAAGCAGAAAGCAAACTCCTTTTAAAATTGGCACATAGGTGTCGTTCAGCTAATTTAGTTACAGGTAGTACTTGTTCAGCCATCCCAACTGGGACCCACAATTGTCATTAAGCAAAGTAATTGCTAAGTGAAAATTCAACTGTGCCTATGATCTTACTTAAATTTCCTTTGCTGTACAGACCCATGAAACTCGTAAGTGCAAGGATTGGTTGCAAAGTTACTTTTTCATAATTGTAATCACAAATCGTCACTAAACAAGTCAGTCATAAATGAGGACTACCTCTACTTCAAACTCCCAGAAGGGAAGGAAAAAAGAGAGAGAGAGATGGGATTAGGCTGACCATTCAGAAACTATCTTTCCAAGGATGAAATAAATTATGTCTTCCAGCTTCAATGGAGTATCTCAGTGCACAACTTTCATTTTTTTCTTCTCTTCTTGGTTGATCCGCTGTATAACAAACCTGAAGCCTGTTATAAAGTCTGAATATTTTTTTTCTTTATATGTTTCACATCGTTGGCAAGTCTGTGTGTCTGTGTTCTTCAAAAATGAAAGATAGGGGAAAGTACAATAAGCAACATGCTGAAGTAAAGACACATGGTATATGTGACATAGATTCCTGATAAAAAGATTTCTATTACAGTTAGAGTTTTAAAAAAAAAATTTAAACCTGCAATATGAGATCCAAAACCATCTTTGTGAGTAGATGAATACAGGTAGTCCTTGATTTATGACCAGAATTGAGCTCAACATTTATGTTGTTAAGTAAGATATTGGTTAAGTGTGTTTTGCCCCACTTTATAGCCTTCCTTGACTCAGTTGTTAAGTGAATCACTGCAGTTGATAAGTTAGTAACCAGGTTGTTAAATGAATCTGGTTTCCCCATTGACTTTGCTTGTCAGAACATTGCAAAGGGTGATCAAATGATCTTGGGACACAGCAACCGTCATAAATATGAACCAGCTGCCAAGCATCTGAATTTTGATCATATGACCATGGGATGCTGCAAAGGTCATAACTGTGAAAAATGGTTGTAAGTTCCTTTTTTTCCATTCCTTTGTAAGTTTGAACAGTCACTAAATGAACTGTTAAGTGGAGGAGTACCTGTACCCAAATATTGAAATTATCTTTCCATCTCCAGCCTGAGACAGAGGCAATAATATTAAGGATGCCACAACATCCTGTTCTTAAAAATTAAAGTAATGGCTCTTTGTGGACTTTATTGTCAGTAAGAAAAGGGCCCATCTTATAAAGGGAAACATACTCAACTTCCTTGGAAATGACAAAAATATCATAACTTTATCTCTGATGTGTGGCATTCAGACATGCCAACCAGTGGTGGGTTTCTACCGGTTCATACTGGTTCGGCCGAACCAGTAGTAATTTGGCAGCCTGGGTCGCTGGAACTGGTAGCAACCCAGACCTGCCACACCCCCAAACTGGTTCTCCTGGCAGTGCTGTAGGCACTGCCATCTTGTTTTTGCTTTTTGCGCATGCATAGAAGCATTTTTATAGTACTGCACATGCGCGCGCAGTGCAAATCAAGTTCACACGCTGCGCAACCACAAGTGAACTGGCAGTAGCAGCTGCCGGAACCCACCCCTGATGCCTTCTGAAAAATCTAAATTATGTTAGGTGTGCCTACAACGTAATTTTATTGGTTATGTAAATAATAAAACAGTATACATGGAACTCCCTGCAAAGCATTAGCAGCTTACTGAGCAATCTGATCAAAAGAAGAGCCAGGGCTTATTTACCGTATTTTTCGGACTATAAGATGCACCAGAGTATGATGCACCAAGACTTCAAAGAGAAAAACAAGGGGGGAAAATAGTTTTTGGCCTCCACGTGTACAGTTTTTGCTCTCTCTACCCCCAGGAGCACTCTGCAGGCCTCCCAAGCCTTCTGTGCGTCCTATTTTTTTGTGGAAAATGGTTGAAAAATGGGCCTGTTTTTGGCCTTGCAAAACCCCCAAGAGTGCTGTTTTTGCTCTCCCCAACCCCCAGGAGCACTCTGAAGGCTTTCCAAACCCTCTGCATGCCCTGGTTTTGCCAAAAATAGATGCGCGGGTGGGGTTTTAGGAGGCCAAAAATGGCCATATTCGGTTTATAAGATGCACCAACATTTCCACTCTCTTTTAGGGGGAAAAATGTGTGTCTTATACTCCAAAAAGTATGGTACCTTTGATCTACTACATTACAGAGACAAGACAAAGGCATGACATAGAAAAGTTTTTGATAACCCATCTGGGTGACATTATTTCTTCTTCCTACTAGGCCAGCATCTTTGTGATTTGGTCAGTGAATTTTTTTAAAAAACGGTTTACTGGTCCATTGGTCTCTGTCTGATTCTTCCTCTGTTGCCACTAAAGGTCAATTCAACTTGCTATGTACATTTTCTTTCAAGGGGCTTTAAGCATTCCATATATGTGTGTTTGTGGGGGAAAGGAAGTATCTTCTACTAACATATCTGACAAATGAGTTGAGTAATTTTTTAATGAATAGAAGATTTTACAAACTCCTTGTACACCAGTTCAGTGTGCAATGTGTAGAATACCCAGATTGGACTTACCGTTTCAATGGGTAGAAATTTTGTAAGAAGTCTCATTATACGGTTCACACTATTATGAAATTTTTGACCCTCAAATTTAGATTCATGCGACACTACATTCATCTCAAGTTGAAAGCATTTTATCACTGATAGATTACAATGACTCTAGAAAAAACAAAAGAAAAAGAAAAAACAATAGATTTGTATAAATATGTAAATATTTCTAGCCTCTTTCAGACATTACATTTTGCATATATTATATTAGAAGTGGAGAAGTTATGCTCAGGTTTGTGTGTGTGTGTGTGTGTGTGTGTGTGTGTGTTGCTGCTATGTATTGATTACAATGGTGCACAAAGTCTGGAGAGATTGAAGTTCAGTTTTTCACTTATCATTTAAATCTTCTTAAGTTATAATGTACAATTACATGAATGGACTTTAACTATATTCATTTATTAATAAAACCAATTCAGTCTAAACATTATGTTCTACAATTACATATGATTGAAATAAAATATAAAATATTATGATTTTCTACCATCTAATTAATTTTAATTAATTACAGTCTGATAAATATGCTAGCATAGCTCATAAATTCCCTATGTGAGAGTTCTAAAGCTTGGGTGCAGTTGCTGAATTTTTTTTTAGTTCCAACCGGACCTATTTCTCTTATAACTGGAACAGACAAAATTGCTTATGAAAATAATCTAAACAGGCTGGCAGATGTACACAGAAAACTAGGACCATAAACAAACCAGTACAGTTTCTACAAGTAAGCAGCAGGCTCTTGAAAGACACTTCCAGTTAATAATCTGATTCTCACATTGTAGACCAAGTTTCAGAACACTTTCAAAGAATATCTCCTAGAACAAGGATCCCCAACTCCCAGTCCGTGGATCAGCATGAGTCTGGGGCATGCCAGAAACTGGGCCGCACAAACAAGCGAAGTCTCAACCGCAGGATGAAGGCAACACATGAAACCACACCGTCTCTGGTCCGGGGGAAAACTTCTCTCCACAGAACCGGTTGGACCTTACTGCCCAAAAGATTGGGGGCCGCTGTCCTAGAATACTGCTGTATTCCATAAACAGTGAAATATGATAAGATGCTATTATATGTAGAACACTGTGTAGCTGTTCTAAAAGGTTGGTGAATTGCAGATTTTAAACTGTCTACAATATATTTTAAGAACTATTCAAATTTCTGAAAAATAAAACATACTCACGGGGTAATCTAAATCTGCAGTATATAAATAGGCATCGATCTAAAAAAAGAAAATTGTTATATAATCAGCAGTTTTAAACATGTTTTTCCTCAAAGCATGAGATTAAAAATCATTTAAAAACTGCTCTGCATGTTAAGAACATTAAGCATCTAGAGAGGATGATCTGGGAACTGTTGAAATGAACAGTAATATTTAATTTCTTCAAACAATGTACATTGGATAAGGCTAAAGGGTTTTTGTTTCAACAAATCTGCCTTACAATAATTGTAGAATCAAAGTTTAAACATGATTGTGGAAAAAGTATGGTATATATTTTCAGTTCAATTAGAAATGCTTTGAAGTTTAAAATGTCTTCAGAGAATATAAAATAGAGAGATGAAAAAACTAAAATCAGTCATGACAGATATACTCAAATATTGTCAAGAAATAACCCAAAGATATTTTTTTCAAAAGGCAACTGGACTTCCTTTGAAGATGTTTCGCTTTTCATCCAAGAAGCTTCTTCAGTTCTGACTGAATGGTAGAGAATGGAATAAAAAAAACACCTTTGGGACAACCATGATCTAGATGACTGAGAATCTTCATAGACAAGACAGGAAGTAAGTTAAAATAGTACCAATATATTGGACGTTTGGTTATGTGGACATTTGTATTCATTTCTATTTTAAGTTACCTCAGAGCTGACTTCAATCTTTTCCAAGTCCTTTAGCACGGCTTCCAAACGTTCGATGGCTTGTGTATATAGTAGGTGTGAGCTTGTTTGAAATAGAAGAGTTAACACAATAAAACTATCAGAATACTTCAATGGTATCATAAAAACAGTAAACCATATTTCAAGCATTAACCATAAAGAAACATGTATGATCTCTAATGCATTGTGAAATTGTATGTTAAGTTCAGAGAGGGATTATTCCAGCCCTAGTATTTTCTATATATAATATGCATTTTTCTGAGATGTTTGCCCATAATATCATTTCATTTTAAAGAGTGAAGTTGGGTTAGCAATAGTGCACCATTCTGCTTCTAAGATGCTTACAATGGGGGAGAGGGGTTGGGGAGGACAAGAGGATTTGGACCAGAATGGGGTAATCATTCATCTGAATTTCTAGAGAGGAACAAAGCATCAAGAAAACAGTACACTTTTGCACATATTACAAATGTGCATTTTATTGCACAATTTATACATTACAGATATGAATGTGCAAAGTGATGGATACCCAATAGATTAAAAAAAATATCAGTACTTTCCTTGACTCACCTCAGAATAAGGTAAAAAACCAGAAACTTATTTTTCAGATTTTCAGGAAACTGAAGGACAGATTTCAGCACAGCTTCAAAGACCATGATTCCCTTCTGAAATATTTCTTGCCCCCATACTCGAAGAGACTTAACAAGCAGTGAGGAATACAATCCTTTTCCTATATGTTGCATGTGTTTAAAAATATTACAAATTTAAACATATGTTTATTATATAAATATAATATTATAAAAAACAAATATCACTTGTATCACTGTAACCATTACTGTAATTCTAATTAATTACTCACCCCTGGCATTAGCCTCTCATTTATTAAGAATCCTCCTGATGCAGAAATTTCAATTTCCAAAATTCTCAGCCAGCATGCTCTTACATTTTCTGGGAACTGAAGTCCATATACCGTATCTGAAAGTCACATTGGCTTGGAAAGCTGCACTAAAGTGTACCTGAAAATTAAATGATGAATACATATTTGTCCATAATGTTGTTATCCATGATATATTTCATGCTCATGATGACTTTGTTATGAAATAACTAAAACAAAAGACCACATTTATTTCTTCACTTAGAAATAATCAGTGTGATTCATATCACTGTGATTTGCATGGATTTTTTATAACATTCAAAAAGTCTGAATTAATATTTTTTACAAAACAGATGCTGGAAAAGTAAAACCTTCTACTGATAGTATGGAAACATTATATAAGGATAATAAATTAACATTAGAATCCATTCATCACAAAAATGTTGAAAGAGAATATAATTTAATATTATGTACTTTGTAAAAGGGAATGATTTCTTAAATGTTTGTATGCAGCAGCCTAATAATGGTGGGATACAAATTAATTAATTAGATAAATAAATAAGTGGGATAATAGTAATCATTGTCATCTATTTAAAAATAGAAATGCGGATTTTCATATTTTATTTTACATTAAGCATGGAGTTTTTTCATTAACTTTATTTCAAATAAAAACTTATGTGAGTTTCAACTAGGTCTTTATTATTATCTTTAATTGATATTAGTTATATTCACACTTAATTGATATATCAGGTAAGAGGAACTGAATTGTTTTCTTCATATTAAATTCTTTTCCTATGGCAAGCCTTATTTACTTGATTAATCAACCATAAAGCCAGCAGTTCAAATATTGGTTCACTATCTTAAGAAATGACATTTGATTTGTTGACAATACCAATGCTCCAGATATGAGAATATAGCAATAGCAGTAGACTTATATACCGCTTCATAGGCCTTTCAGGCCTCTCTAAGCGGTTTACAGAGAGTCAGCATATTGCCCCCAACAATCT